GTGGTCATTACAGGTGTCTCGGTTTTCCTGTAATTTACCTGATGTATTATATTCTTACCTGGTGTGTGTGTGTGTGTGTGTGTGTGTGTGTGTGTGTGTGTGTGTGTGTGTGTGTTTGTCCCGGTCTGTGTATGTATGTATGTATCTAGAGACAGAAAGACAGACAGAAGACTCCCACACAGACAGACAGACAGACAGACAGACAAAGGTCAAGCAGAGCAACAGTAGACATTGTATTATGAGAGAACAGCCATCAAATAATCTGCAACCGGCCATCAAATAACTGAACAGGCCATCAAATAAACTGACCTGGCATCAAATAAACTGACCGGGCCATCAAACAAAACTGACTGGGCCATCAATAAACTGACCGGCCATCAAATAAACTGACTGGGCCATCAATAAACTGACTGGCCATCAACAACTGGACTGGCCTTCAAATAAACTGACTGGCATCAACAAACTGACAGGGCCATCAAATAAACTGGACCGGCCATCAAATAAACTGACAGGCCATCAAATAAACTGGATGGGCTATCAATAAACTGACCGGGCCATCAAATAAACTGACCGGGCCATCAACAAACTGACCGGGCCATCAAATAAACTGACCGGGCCATGAAATAAACTGACTGGGCCATCAAAACCAAATTTGCACCTGGATGTAGTGTGGATAAATTGACACCTGGATGTAGTATGGATAAATTGACACCTGGATGTAGTATGAATAAATTGACACCTGGATGTAGTATGGATAAATTGACACATGGATGTAGTATGGATAAATTGACACCTGGATGTAGTATGGATAAATTGACACCTGGATGTAGTATGGATAAATTGACACCTGGATGTAGTATGGATAAATTGACACCTGGATGTAGTATGGATAACTACACCTGGATGATAGTATGGGATAAATTGACACCTGATGGTATGGATAAATTGACACCTGGATGTAGTATGGATAAATTTGCACCTGATGTAGTGTGGATAAATTGACACCTGGATGTGAAAATGGGATAGTCCGACACCTGGATGGTGTGGATAAATTGACACCTGGATGTAGTGTGGATAAATTGGCACCTGGATGTAGTATGGATAAATTGACACCTGGATGTAGTGTGGATAAATTTGCACCTGGATGTAGTATGGATAAATTGACACCTGGATGTAGTATGAATAAATTGACACCTGGATGTAGTATGGATAAATTGACACCTGGATGTAGTGTGGATAAATTTGCACCTGGATGTAGTGTGGATAAATTGACACCTGGATGTAGTATGAATAAATTGACACCTGGATGTAGTATGGATAAATTGACACCTGGATGTAGTGTGGATAAATTTGCACCTGGATGTAGTATGGATAAATTGACACCTGGATGTAGTATGAATAAATTAACACCTGGATGTAGTATGGATAAATTGACACCTGGATGTAGTGTGGATAAATTTGCACCTGGATGTAGTGTGGATAAATTGACACCTGGATGTAGTGTGGATAAATTTGCACCTGGATGTAGTATGGATAAATTGACACCTGGATGTAGTATGAATAAATTGACACCTGGATGTAGTATGGATAAATTGACACCTGGATGTAGTGTGGATAAATTTGCACCTGGATGTAGTGTGGATAAATTGACACCTGGATGTAGTGTGGATAATTTGGCACTTGGATGTAGTGTGGATAAATTGACACCTGGATGTAGTATGGATAAATTGACACCTGGATGTAGTATGAATAAATTGATACCTGGATGTAGTGTGGATAAATTGACACCTGGATGTAGTATGAATAAATTGACACCTGGATGTAGTATGAATAAATTGACACCTGGATGTAGTATGGATAAATTGACACCTGGATGTAGTATGGATAAATTGACACCTGGATGTGGTATGGATAAATTGACACACTGGATGCCAAATGGCCCCAGATAAAATTTGACACCTGGATGCTGAGTATGAATAGAGTTGACACACTGGATGTGGTGTGGACCAGTGACACCTGGATGTGGTATGATAAAATTGACACCCTGGATGTGTGTGGATAGAACCAGCACCTGGATGTGGTATGGACTAAATTCACCCCTGGATGTGTATGGATAAATTGACACCTGGTGCGTATGGATAAATTGACACCTGGATGTAATATGGACAAATGAACACCTGGATACAGATGAAATTGACACCTGGATGTAGTATGAATAAATTGACACCTGGATGTAGTATGGATAAATTGACACCTGGATGTAGTATGGATAAATTGACACCTGGATGTAGTATGGATAAATTGACACCTGGATGTAGTATGGATAAATTGACACCTGGATGTAGTATGGATAAATTTGCACCTGGATGTAGTGTGGATAAATTGACACCTGGATGTAGTATGGATAAATTGACACCTGGATGTAGTATGAATAAATTGACACCTGGATGTAGTATGGATAAATTGACACATGGATGTAGTATGGATAAATTGACACCTGGATGTAGTATGGATAAATTGACACCTGGATGTAGTATGGATAAATTGACACCTGGATGTAGTATGGATAAATTGACACCTGGATGTAGTATGGATAAAATGACACCTGGATGTGGTGTGGATAAATTGACACCTGGATGTGAGTGTGGATAAATTGACACCTGGATGGTATGAATAAATTGACACCTGGATGTAGTGTGAATAAATTGACACCTGGATGTGAGTATGGATAAATTGACACCTGTGGACTGTAGTATGGATAAATTGACACCCTGGATGTAGTATGGATAAGTGCCTGGATGTGGTATGGATGAAATTCACCCTGGATGTGGTATGAGATAAATTGACCTTGAGGATGTGGTATGGGGCCAATTGACATACCTGGATGTAAAAGTATGGATGAAATTGACACCTGGATGTAGTATGGATAAAATTGACACTTGGGATGTAAAGTATGTGGATAAGAATTATGGCACCTGGATGTGGCTGGATAGATGACACCTGGATGTAGTATGAATAAATTGACACCTGGATGTAGTATGGATAAATTGACACCTGGATGTAGTGTGGATAAATTGACACCTGGATGTAGTATGAATAAATTGACACCTGGATGTAGTATGGATAAATTGACACCTGGAGGTAGTATGGATAAATTGACACCTGGATGTAGTATGAATAAATTGACACCTGGATGTAGTGTGGATAAATTGACACCTGGATGTGGTATGGATAAATTCACCTGGATGTAGTATGGATAAATTGACACCTGGATGTAGTGTGAATAAATTGACACCTGGATATAGTATTGTAGTCAAGAAAGTAAATAACAACAAGGGCAAAATAAATGAAAAGGAATAAATTAATTTTAAAAATATTTTTTACTAAGCTGTGAACGATACCTATTGCCGATATCGTATTTATAAGCATTACAATATTACAATAAACATATAAAACACTATTATTTTACTCTAATAACTAAACATCTGGAAAAACATTTATAAATTCATTAAACATTTCAAATACAATAAAACATTTCAAATAACACTAAAAAATAAATCGAAAAATGCATTTGTTTTTATTTTATTTTTTTTTCGATATAATTTTGTTGTGAAATTTTGGTTTCATGTGAAATGGCGAAGCTTAGACCCAGGTAGTGTTGTGTTATCAGCTTAAGGGCGGCCGTGTGGGTGTGTGTGGGTGGGGTTAGATTAGTGTGGGTGTGGTAATGCGGGTAGCTAGTGTGGGTGGGTTAGTGTTGGTGTGGTAGTGTGGGTAGTGAGTGTGGATGTGGTAGTGTGGGTAGCTAGGGAGCGTGGATGTCAGGGTAGTAGTGTGGGGGTCAGTGGGGGTGGTGTGGGTGGGTTAGTATGGGTAGTGTGGATGGGTCATTATGGGTAGTGTGGATGGGTCATTATGGGTAGTGTGGGTGGGTCAGTATGGGTGATGTGGATGGGTTAGTATGGGTAGTGTGGATGGGTCAGTATGGGTGGTGTGGGTGGGTCGGTATGGGTGGTGTGGATGAGTCATTGTGGGTGGTGTGGATGGGTCAGTGTGGGTGGTGTGGGTGGGTCAGTATGGGTAGTGTGTGGGTGGGTTAATTATGGGTAGTGTGGATGAGTCATTATGGAGTGGTGTGGATGGGTTGAGTATGAATTGAGTGTGAATTGGGTCAGTATGGGTAGTGTGGATGGGTCAGTATGGAGTGAGTGTGGATGAGTCATTATGGGAGTGAAGTGGATGGGTCAGAGTATGGGTGATGTGGATGGGTTGAGTATGGAGTCAAGTGTGGATGGGTCAGTATGGGTGGTGTGGATGGGGTCAGTGTGGGTAGTGTGGGTGGGTTAGTATGGGTGGTGTGGATGGAGTCATTGCTGGGTAGTGTGGATGGGTCGGTATGGGTAAGGTGTGGGTGGAGTCAGTATGGGTGGTGTGGATGGGTCAGTATGGGTGGTGTGGATGGTCATTATGGGTAGTGTGGATGGGTCATTGCTTGTTTGATGTGGATGGAGTTGAGTATGGAGTGAGTGTGGGATGGGTGTGTGGGTAGTGCTTGGATGGGTCAGTATGGTGGTGTGGATGGGTGAAAGTATGGGTGGTGTGTGGATGGGTCAGTATTATGGGTGGTGTGGGTGGGTCAGTATGGGTGGTGTGGATGAGTCATTTAGCTGGGTGGTGTGGATGGGTCATTATGGGTGGGTGTGGATGGAGTCAGTATGGTGTGTGGATGGGTTGAATGTATGGGTGGTGTGGGTGGGTCAGTGTGAATTGGTGTGGGTGGGTCAGTGTGGGTGGTGTGGATGGGTCATTATGGGTGAGTGGATGGGTCATTATGGGTGGTGTGGATGTGGTCAGTATACTGGGTGGTGTGGATGTCTCAGTATGGGTGATGTGGATGGGTTAGTATGGGTAGTGTGGGTGGGTCAGTATGGGTAGTGTGGATGGGTCAGTATGGGTAGTGTGGATGGGTCAGTATGGGTAGTGTGGATGTCTCAGTATGGGTAGTGTGGATGGGTTAGTATGGGTAGTGTGGATGGGTCAGTATGGGTAGTGTGGATGGGTCAGTATGGGCGGTGTGGGCGGCGCTGGACATCTGGGAGTTACATGAAGAAGAGTCGATCTATTTCTTATAGGTGAAGCTCTCAGTGCCTCCACGACCATAACCTGAGGGAGGAGATGACGAAGGTGTTAGATATGTCTCTCTCTCTCTCTCTCTCTCTCTCTCTCTCTCTCTCTCTGTCTATCAACCAATCTGTCTATCTATCATAAAAGCCTTATATTTCTTTCAATTCTCACCAACAAAAATAAACTTTAAAGCATAATTAATATATAAAGTCATTATCCAGCACAAAATGGTCAAATTAAGCCTCTGTTGACATTGTTTTGAGCATTTAAGTTGGAATAAATGTTTGTCTCAGTTACCCATATGATAGGGTTGATGTACACGTTTTCTATGATTATTTTAAGAGGGTGACTGATGTAATTTGTGCTTCCTCTGTGTATGTGTATGTGTGTGTGTGTGTGTGTGTTTATTCTTAGTTTAAGATGTGTTTTTAGTGAAATTCTCTTTCTCTCTGTTTATCTATGTCTTTTTTTTCTCTATCTATTTCTCTCTCTCTTCAGTCTCTCTCTCTCTCCACCTGTTTATCTTTCTCTCTCTACCTTGTCTCTCTCTCTCACACCTACCTCCAGGGCCGAAGAGAGCTCCGTAACATGGGGTAGTACAGTAAGGTTTGCTCTGATGCTCCGAGTGACTTCCAGGGGTCAGGGTCTTGTTGCACTTCTCACACTTGAGGCAGAAAGAATGCCAGTCCTTACCCAGCGAGGTCTTCCTTTCCGCTGTGGAGGGAGAGAGGGAGGGTTAAGGGGCCTGTGTGGTAGAGGTAGGGTTAAGGGGCCTGTGTGGTAGAGGGAGGGTTAAGGGGCCTGTGTGGTAGAGGGAGGGTTAAGGGCCTGTGTGGAGGGAGGGTTAAGGGCCTGTGTGGTAGAGGGAGGGTTAAGGGGCCTGTGTGCTGGGAGGGTTAAGGGGGGGAGGTTAAGGGGACTGTGTGGTAGAGGGAGGGTTAAGGGGGTGCTGGAGGGAGGTTAAGGGCCTGCATGGTGGAGGGAGATAGGGGGACTGTGTGCTGGAGGGATGGAGGGGGAGTGTGTTGGTGTTGGAGGGAGGGAGGGAGGGGGAGTGGTTTGGTGTTGGAGGGAAAGTAATGGTGGGGGAGGTAGGGAAGGATAGTGGTTGTGTGCTGGAGGGAGGGAGTTGTTGCTGGAGGGAAGATTTAAAGGTAGGAGAGGGAGGGAGGGTAATGTGAGAGGGAGGAGGAAAGAAAGTGGTGTGGTAGTGGAGAGAAGATAAGGATGGGAGAAGAGGGGAGGGGGAGTTGAATTTGTTTACCAAATGGAGGGAGGGAGGGAAGGATGGTGTTACAGTTCCCGGTCACCTGTGGAATCACTAATTGTACATAAACTGGAAGCAACATTCACAAATATTTATGGGTTAAGTTTTCAAACCCAAATGGTCTTTTCTCCATTTATTAAGAACATAAACTCTTGCACAATAACTAGGATATCACCGTAATTAACGTTGTGAGCGTGAGTAATGGACGAAGCGTATAAGTAATTAGCTTCGTGACGACACGTCCAGTGGCTGCGAGAGACGGGAGCGGACCGCCTGCGAGCCGGCTACTTTATTCATGACTCTCAAGTCTAGAGACGAGAGTTTGATGGAAATAAACTGTCCCATGTCCAATGGATGACTACTCACGGCTCATAGGAAAATTACCGTGGGTGATGTAATTATATAAGCCTAATGCATATAACCCACATTTATATAAGTACTACTGTCTGTTAGACAGGGGCTAATACATTGCTCGGTCACCGCCCTCAGAGCTCCACGAGGAGTTAACTAACCTTGCAGAAAAACCCTAAAGATATACCTACCCATGTTACATGCAAGTGTGTGGAGGCACTAAACTGAGGAAGCTGCAACCGTGGGTTCAGCAGCTACTGTAGACCTAGTCTGAAGTGCCTTACAGGACAATATATTATATACATTGGTAAATTTAGATGATACTGACTTACGAGTATAATAGCAAAACAAAAATATCACTGCCAATACTAACACAATAGTGGGAACAGTTAAACTGGGTATAGCAAATCCCCGTAAAAAATAGAATGGCAGGTTATCATCTAAAGAAGAGAAATGAGACTCCTTCAGATAAGAAATAAACTTCAATTTATCTGAAATTATATTGAGTTCACAGAAATTCATACTAGGAGCCAGAAACAAAGGATTAAAATATGAAGTTAGATTTAAATTTAATGCAAATTGGTGATGGGAAGGCAAGGATTTCACAACAGTCCAGAGCCTTATAATACCCTTGAACAACTAGTGCTTACCACCATCCTGGCATCGTAAAATGACACTGGTTTCCTCAAGGGAAAAAATATTGCACATTATGTAGATGTGCATGAAACACAGTTTTCTTGGAAATAGGTGTTTAATTACATTGTTTCAGCGCTGTGCAAACGTTCATTTGTATGATCGCCAGTTCACATATTCCTTCTGCAACAGGAATAAACATGAATGCATAGGCTGGACATACATACAAATGTAGATATGACGATTTACACTGTGACAACACCCTAAGATCATCCACCACAAACAATGAATAGTCTTCATCTATTAGTTCAGGTTCAGTTGGTTTATCCAGAGTAAACATTGTGTCATTAGAATACAATGAGAAAGGTTCTAAAGGCCTGCATTAATATTCCACCTCCTGATCTGTGTAAATAGGGGTGAAGTGGTACCTCATCTTGGCTATCTGTAAGGCGTCAAGAAGTGTATTTATAGACACAAGTTGTGCATCCATGCGTCCTAACACTGCATTAACTACACTTGCAATTAGCTTGTCCTTGTTAGCAGATAAAGCTTGAGCAGAATTTTCCGCAGTATGCAGATACTCAGAAACAAGAATTAGCCATTCCAGTGTATATTTACCAAAGCAATCAAATCACGCACAACCCTAGATAAATGGTTAGATTCAGAAGTGATAGTGTTAATGTTTGACCCCAAAGAATGGATAGCATGAAAAGTGTGAGTTATAGTACGATTCTGTTTATGCACTGTTACAGTAGTCATGCGGTCTCCTAAGTAGCTATATCCTCTGTAGTTGCAGTGCCTAATACAGTAGAGTGCTTTAATGAGACAACAAAGTTACATAAGCCTCGCTTTTGTCGTGTTTGAGAACGTGCCTTCTTAGCAGTATCATCTTGAGATGATGGACTAGTGTCCGGCTGTGACGATGTTCTTGTGAAGGGTCCTGAGACGAGGTAGCTGAAGATTTATAGTTATGTTAGGACGTTGACTTAGTGTCAACTACATGACCAAGGAATTGTATTCTGGATTTTAAAAAATCACATTTCGAAAGTTTAACTTTAAGTTCTGCTGTAGAAAGTTTCTGAAAAACTTCATGGAGTTTGGCAATATGACTGTCAACATCTTAACTGACTATGATGAAATCATCGAAGTAGGCACATACTGTGGTGTCTATTAACCAAACAAAGTGTTGATCATCCTTTGAAAAGTCAGTGGCGCATTTCGAAGTCCGAAATGCATACATAAAAATTAAAAATATCCCAAAGGAGTACTAAAAGCAGTAATCTCACAAGATTTCTTGTCAAGAGAAAATTGCCAATATCCGCTAAGAAGATCAAGGTTGCTAAAAACTGCATTATCCTTACCTAAAGATTGTAAAATATATCTCAGGACAGGCATCGGGTACCTATCCGGGATAGTATTTTCGTTGACACGCCGAAAATCAATGACTGGGCGCCAACCGCCATCCTTCTTAGGGACCAAGAACAGTGGGCTATTGAAAGGGGACTTTGAATGTGTGATAACTTCTTGTTTCAGCATATGTTAAACCATGTCTTGCACTACTATACAGCACACTGGCTATGAGGTAGTCTGTAAGTTGGTATGTAAATCGGGTTTGTGTCCGGTCTTAAAGATATGTGATGCGAAGTTGAACTTGTGTGACCTACAGTAGCTATTATCCTGGTAAGGCTATAATGTTTCTGTAGTCGGCAAGCAACTCTAGGAGCCTAGTCTTGCCTTGAGGGTGATCAGTCACCTTAACATGTGGACACTAGCGTAGCTAGGGGGGGGCGGTCCGCCCCGGGCGGCACTTTTGGGGGGCGGCACTTTTGGGTCTGCTCATCACCCATATCTGCAGCTACTGGAGACGTTAATCCATCCCTTTGTATCGGCGGCAAGTTAATCCTTGTCGTGTCTGACCTAACACCTGACCCACATCATCACGGCCACGTCATGAGCTACACCCTTGCTATGAGGCCCCCCGCCACACACACAACCTGTAACCTGTTGAGGATTAAGGAAACAACTTCAAACAAGTATGCCAGTGAGCTCATGTGGTGTGGGTCAGGTGTTAGGTCAGACACGACGAGGATTAACTTATAAAGTTTAAGTATGTTTGGTGTGTATTTAAAGCATACTATATTTGAGTATGTGAAAGTACAGTAATATTATAATGGTACACAAACTATTATATATATATATATATATATATATATATATATATATATATATATATATATATATATATATATATATATATATATATATATATAAAGTGAGTCACTGTGCAATATGTATTTTTTGTGGGGGCACAGGGGGGGCGGCAAACTCAAGGGCCGCCCCGGGGGCATACACGCTAGCTCCGCCACTGCATGTGGCGCTATTTGATCTATCCTCTCCTGTCTGGTTTGTGTAGGTATATGTGTAACACTACCAATTGGGTATTGTGTAGGCTGTAAAACAACACTAGTATGGTAAACCAGATAAACACACAAGTAACATCTCTCTTTCAGTATTCTGGGAGAACCTGTTCTGTTGACAATGAGGACATCTGTTAAACCACCAGGACGAATCGTACTCAATTTAGATTCACATGATAGACCTTTAACTCTGCAAGTTTCCGTAAGACATACTACCTCAGTCCCAGTGCAAATGTCAGGTAAGCGAACAGTGGCCCTGATTATTTCCTCATTCTGAAACTGGAGATTACCTGTTAAGACTGCAGGTACTACCATACAGCTTTTGCTGCTAAAATCACGCCGGGTAAATGAGTGTTGGGTCTGGGACTCGTTGGGACTTGGAATCCATGTTCCTCGTAGTAGGAGCATTGGACAAAACATTCACCCTGGCGGTGAGCAATGGGACAGAATTGTGCATGGCATGATAGGTAACACCACTAACAATGATAGTATGTTGACTTGGCTGGACATCGATCATGTTGTGTTTAAGAGTTGGTAGACCAATTAATCCATCAGCTGGTAAGTTAAAGTCCTTCACTATATAAAACTTTGCAAGAAATGGTTTACCACATCTAGAAAAACGTAGTGGTTATATCACCACTCCCTTAAATGTCCAGCTGGGCACCGGAAACTCCTGAGAGATCAGTGTCAGTAGGCCAAGCTTGAAATTCTCGGTGAGGGGCTTGTCGCTGTAGTTCTTGATAGGACGCTAATGAGAGTACATTTGCACACGCACCATATCTATATCTAGGGCAGGTGAGGCTGCACCCACCCTCACCTGAACAGACAACACTTCCGCTTTGTTCAGCACCGCTATTAACGAAGCAGCAACAGAAGTGTGCGCTGGGACGGCTGTACCTATCCCGTGTCTTTTTGGGAAAGACGCTGATCTTTCCTCTACTTCTTATAATAGCGACGATGCGATTTGTGCTGCTGTGGTACCTGTGGCATGTGATAGCCTATGTCCCTACATCGTTGGAGAACTTGACAGTCTTCGGAATTATGGG